TTGTTTAGCATGTCAAAATCTACTTGAATATTAATTTTCACGAAGGTACAGTTACTGTCTCTTATACACATCTAGATGTGTATAAGAGACAGTTATATACCTAATTCATCAGTTTATAATGAAATACAATAAATAAATATATTATATAAATTTTATATCATATAACTTATAAAATCCTAATTTCTGATTGGTTAATATATGTATCACATGATGCTTACATAATCTGAAAAATTGAGACTTTTTTTTTATTTTATAAATCAATTTCTTTTAATAAATAGAGTTTAATTTTTTTATAAAATTAAAATCTAATCATAAAATCAAATTTTATTTAAATTTTTTTAAGTTCTTATTATAGAAGTTCTGCATCGTAACATTACGACCTAATTACAGTATTATGATCTAATTACAGCATTACGGCCTAATTACAGTATTATGAAAAGTGTTATAACTGTAATGCTGTATACTGTAATATTACAGCATTAGCTAATCAATTACGGCTAACATCTTTACTATAAGAGAAAAAAGGCTGTCCCTCATGCTTTTACGCTTTTGGCTAAGCAACGAAGAAGAGCGCGATCAAGAAAGGTTAAGCGAGTGGTAGTTTAAAGAGATGAATCAGGCACTTTGCATATTTTTAATCAAAGATAATTGAATCAGATAAATTATTAGTATAGCTAAAAAATTAAGGAATAACCGGTGCAAGACAATGGGTAAGTTCACTACTAATTCCACACAGTATTTGCCATTATGCAATCTGGTCAAATATGAACACACATATAATAGGGCCACTGGCTTAATTACTGTCAAGAACATAAGATAGGATAGAGTTGTAGGTGTGTTCAATTAGTGGTAGTTTGAAGAGATAAATCAGGCATTTTGCATATTTTTGATCAAAGATAATTGAATCAGATAAATTATTAGTATAGCTAAAAAATTGAGGAATAACTAGCGCAAGACAATGGGTAAGTTTACTACTAATTCCACGCAGTATTTGCCATTATGCAATCCGGTCAAATAATATGAATACATATATATTAGGGACACTGGCTTAATCACTATTAAGAACATAAGACAGGATAGAGTTGTAGGCGTATTCAATTAGTAGTAGTTTAAAGAGATGAATCAGGCACTTTGCATATTTTTGATCAAATATAATTGAATCAAATAAATTATTAGTATGGCTAAAAAATTGAGAAATAACCAGCGCAAGATAATGGATAAGTTCACTACTAATTCTATGCAGTATTTGCCATTACTGGTCAAATATGAACACATATATGATAGGGCTACTGGCTTAATCACTGTCAAGAACATAAGACAGGATAGAGTTGTAGGCATGTTCAATTACTTTGAGCTGAGTGGATATCTGAAGTCTGATCTAACCCAGAAAATTTATTTTTTCGATTAAAGATACAGCATATATTATTTATGGCGCATACA